TCTCGATACTATCCACACCATTTGTATGATTGGCGGTCCACCACTGTGCGATTTAGAAGATGTTTTCTTCCTCGCACGACTTCCTTGTGGAATCGATTACCATCAGCGATTTTTCTGGACCGATACGACTTCAAGAAAAGAGCCCACTCTTTTTAAAAGGCCGGCAACGCATATGCAATTCCCCTGGTTCCCTCGGTGTTGCAGTTGTTCATGGGCGGCGGTAGTCACTTACCATCAGGTGAGCCGCATGCTCGTTTACCCCCTTTCCTATACAAAAAATAACAAAGCGCATGCCCCCGTTTGCGCGACGTGTAAACGTTTTAAAAGAAAATGCGACCATAAAACTGGAGAAGAAAGCTGTCCAGAACGTGATTTCGCAGAGAACAAATTTATCAACTCCATATACTATGAGGACGCCTAAGAGCACCGCGTAATATATTATTTACGAGTACTTAGCTCTTAAACACTAGTTTTAGTTTATCTTTAAGCTTAAGTATGGCGAATCAATTACTCAATGACCTAGATAACTTTTCTGTGTCTGACGCTAAAACATGTAATGTTGATGAAACACTTCCTTCCACGTTCTGAAAATAAGTTAATCTTACTTAGACAAAATATTAGAAGCATAAATCGGAATATAACCGGGTTTGAAGTTTTGTTGAATAGACTGGATATTTTGTGATTAAATCAAATAAACCTTCTTTAGCATTAGTTACTAATTCCTCGCTTACTAATCATCAAGCAATTTTACTAACATTACAATTAGCCTTACCTAGGAAAAACTGCATACGCAACTACACTAAAGTCCATATGACGAACCTTGAAAATGGCATTCGTAGCATTAATTTTGACTTTGTTTATTGCTCTAGCGATGCAAATACGTCCTTGAGTTACTTTATAAATTCTTTACAATACGCAATAATGAATAATACATCAACAATAAAACTGTCTCGTAAGTATTATAATATTAAACCTTGGATAATACCTAGTCAAGTTGCGGGAGCTGCCGAGAGCATTTTAAAACTAAATACAAACTACGTGTTCACAGAGAGAGATGCGAATTTATTCTGGCCATTGTCTTATACAATTCTTAATCCTATGCTTAAAGTCTACTTAAATTACTACATACTCAGCATTTATGTATTTATGCTGACGGACGTTTTATCTGTATTATGGGTGGTGCTGGTGTAACCATAACTCCTCCCTCCTCGACTGCAAAGTTATCGGCAAGATTTGGATTCCGATGATTTTGCATACTATGTAGGAGCTTAGACTTATGTTTCCAAATTACAACAATAAGAATAATTAAAGCTAATATAACATAGAATAGTACAGTAGCTAAACTAACACTTTTCTTTTTCACTAAGCTTTCAATTTCACTTCCCAATATTTCACCTTTCAGTTTGTACGAGAGATATTTTAGTTCGTCTAAATTAACGCGATTTAAATTCACTGTTTTCTTCGCATTTGTAGGCTGCTCTATCAATTTGGGTAGAGTTAAAATTGGTGTCACCTTATATTGCAGTTTTACTGAGTAGTATCGTTTCCGGTGTAATTTAATATTGCCTAATTTTATCTCACAGTTTTCATCGATTTCCAAGAGATAAGTGCCCTTTACAGCATTTCTTTGAGTGTCATCGCCACACGTTTTTGTAAGCACTATTTCATTTTGTGTAAATAGGATGCAGTTAATAGGACCAATAGACTGTATCTTAATACTTTCCAGCTCTACTATTGATAATTTACAAAGGCTTAGATTTGATGCGAAGTTCATAAATTGTTCTATGCATGTGTTTTCAGGATACTGCACGATATCAATTTCTTCACACAGGAACTAGTTTGCTGCTATCTCCTGACATGGGCCATTTAAGGGTAAGTACGTGTGATCTTTCACCATTAGGTAAGGATATTTGGGAAAAATAACAGTTGTTCTTTTATAGGTGGGATCAAAAATAGGTAAGGCATACATTTTAAAATAAGTGTATGTAATATTATCAGTCAGAGGGATTTCCATGATGAACGTTATTTGGTTTTATTTTACATAGGCCTAAACAGACATAGATCTTTCTAAATTAACTAAATTGTTTTCAGTAGTAGGATACAATAAACTATTTATTTGAGATATAGATTCCAATATTACTAATAATTCAGTGGAATTAACGATGGCTTGGTGTAGACTGTGAAGTTTAGTAAATGCTAATGCCGTTTCTATTTCGCTTAAAATTAAGTATATAGTTCTAAAATTATTGACAAACATGTTAAACATACTTAAAACATATGTGGAGTATATGCTAATATCGTCTTTAGTAATTATATATTTTACAATTCTTTCTATACGTTTCATTCATTCATTTATAATTTTCATATGTTCCTGTAGAGATCCAGTACTATTTATAAGAGAGTCAAGCATCTCCGAAATTATTGTTATTTTCTTATTAGTTTGCGTTTGCTGGGTCTTTAGTTGAGATATGAGATTGTCGTATTTTATTGCACCATTGTGGTCTAAGTTTCCTGTAAGCGTTTTGATAACAGAACCAAATGGATTAATAAGACCGCGCTTGAAACGTATCGAAGGTATGAGTTGTTTAAACTTTTCTAAAGCTAAGTTACTTAAATAATTTACTTGTGTTTTCATATTTTGGAATTCATTTACGTATGGCTTATGGATGTCTACTAAACTGCTAAATTCTTTATATTTATTGATATTAAAATTTAAATCATCCTTTATGCTACTAAAGTGTAACTGCTTAACTATAACCCACTTATCAACTTCCTTGTATGCTTGTCCTTGCTTTACGGGTAACATGCTTGGGTTATGCTCAATCTTTAGAAGTTGAAGGCCTTGGGTCCGGATCATCAGATTCAGGTTCACGAAGATCGCCAATAACCTGTGGAAGGCGTTTCACATTTTTGAGGTGCACTTTAGTTTTTCTTTTCCCTATCGTTACAGGTATTATGTTTTTTCCATATCACCTTGCACTGTCGCCTTTTGATACCTAGGTTTATCCTTACTTTTCCTTATGTTAATATCTTTAATAAAAACCGTATCACCTTCTTTAAGATCAATTCCAGATTCCCCGCTTTTCTTTTTCCTAACCTTTTCTTTATATGTATGGACTTTTTCGGAAATATACCTATATAAGTATTTGATTCGTCTCGCGTGGTCTTTAATGAGTTGCTGTGTATATGCCTTTTCAAAATCTACGTCGAATATTTTACCAGAATCGGTATTACCAAATGCTACTTCAAAGGGTGTTAATCCTGTCGTTGAATGAATAGTATGATTATATGCCATGACTGAATATGTCATGACAGATGCAGCGTCTGTGCATTTATGTTCATATTTTGCAAGTCTGTATATTTCAATTATAGTGGAATAAAATCTTTCGACAATGCCTGTCGAATTGGGGTTATTGGGAGTTGTGATATGAGTTTCTATTTTATACATAGATAGGAGCTGGCGCATAAGTTCATTATTGAATTCAGTGTCTGGATCAGATGATATTTTCTTAGGAATTCCGTACATAGAAAAATATTTAATTTATGCTCGCATAACTTCAGCAGTTTGTCGACTTGCAATCTCTAAGCAATAATTTTTAATTTTTAATTTCTTTTAGCAATAATTTGCTAAAAGCATCCACAATGGTTTAATAATACTTCTTCTCAATAGTAAATAAATCTATAAATAGTTACTGAAAAGGTGTAAAGGTGTGAGTTGTAGTATAGGTTTATTGGTTTCCTATTGTACTTCATTAATCTGCACGGTTCACAAGCATTTATAACGGCAGCTACAGTGTCTTGCATATTTTCCCAATAATAGTTTCTGCGTAATCTTATCATAGTTTCTTTCACACCGCGATGACATGTTTTTCCTTCATGGTGTTGGAGAATGACAGCTTTTTGTTTTTTTTTTCATCCTCCACATATACTACGCGTTGTGTACATTCAAAGAATTGTACTGCATCCTTCTTAAAGAGTTCTATAATAACCTTTGCAAATAATTTCCTATGCTCAGCGTTCTCGAAATAAATAAAGTATCGACTCTTAAATTTTATATATTCCTTTCAAAATTGTTTTATTAATTCTTCATTTTCTAGTGGGAGAAATACCTCTAGTACTTTTTGTTTTTCTCTAGTTAAATTTCTGACTTGAAGTTTATTTTGGAACCAAGAAAATACTATGATCTGATTTGGTTTGGTATCTATTGCCTCGCTCAAAATTGGGATTGCTATTGACTCGGGTTCAACATTTGAGTGTATCGTGTCTGTGCTACTACTGTTAATTACAGATGGTACAGGGTAGTTTTCTTCGAACAATTCTATATGATCCGTTACACTCGAGTCTGAGTCTGAAATTATCACTGTCTCTGGTTGAGTTTTAGGTCTGTATTTTTCAAGTTCTTTCAGTTGGCGTATTACTTTTTGTATGTCATCGTCATCTACATTAACATCCATTGATGCGTCGTCTAAAGCATTAAGTTTTATGCGAGACAAGGCATCAGCATTGGTATTTTGTTTGCCGTTTTTATAGACGATTGTGAAATCGTATTCTTGAAGACGCAAACGCCAGTTTGCTGTTAGGCTCCTTAAGGGACTAGAGCCAAGCAAGAGGTCTTTGGTCTATATAAATTTGAAATTTTTGTCCATACAAGTAGGGCCTAAAATGCTTTACAGCCCAAATGATGGCTAAAAGTTCGCGCTCTATTGTGCTGTATCGCGACTCAGTGTCACTAAGTGTGCGGCTGGCATATACAAGCAATAGGCTTATCTGACCCTGTTGGTCCTTGTGATAATACTGCACCAAGAGCTACATTCGAAGCGTCGGTAGTTAATATATACGGTTTAGTCGAATCCGGGTATTGTAGTAGTGGGACACTGGTCAATATTTCTTTACATTTATGAAAAGCATCTATATAATTTTGGTCTACAATTATCTTATTCCTTTTCTTTAAACACGACGTTAGGGGCTGCGTGATTTTCGTAAAGTCCTTTATAAATTTTCTATCTATAATATCCTACCAGCCCAAGGAAACTTTTGATTTCGGTGGTTGTCTTAGGAAGAGGATAATTCTGTATTACTTTAATTTTGTCATCGTTTGGTCGCAGTCTGTCTTTAGTTATGGTGTGTCCAAGATATAAAATTTCTTTTCGGAAACATTCAGATTTGTCTAATTGTATTTTCATGTTAGTCTTTCTAAGTCGGTCAAACACTGTACGGAGTTTCTCCATGTGTTCTTGTAGACTAGCGGAAAAGATAATAACGTCGTCAAGGTACACAAGGCAATAGATTTCTTGCAACCCTCTTAAGACGTTATTCATAGCCCTTTGAAAGGTGGCGGGGGCTGTCTTTAATCCAAATGGCATCCTCAGGCACTCATAGTGTCCATTTTGGGTGCTGAAGGCAGTTTTCTGTCGGTCATCTTCATTAAGTTCAATTTGGTGATAGCCGCTGGCCAGGTCGAGTGTCGAAAAGTATGTGCTCTTACCTAGCTTATCGAAAAGGTCTGCGATATTTGGAAGGGGGTACTTATCATCAATTGTAATTTCATTTAGCCTTCTGTAATCTATGACCATTCTGCCTTTTTGGAACAAGGAGTACGGGAGAATTCCACGGGTAAAAAGATTCCTGAATTACATTATCTAATAGAAGTTTACCGACCTGCTTGTTTATCTCTGTTACTTGTACGGGGGCTAGTCTGTAAGGTTTTGTGAATATAGGGTCCTCGTTTTTAGTCCGAATGAAGTGTTTAACCTGATTACTAAAACTCAAAGGTATCTGTTCACAATAAAATATATCCTTGTATTCCTCACATAGTTTACGAATGCTATATCTTTCCTCTTCATTCATATGGTTTAGTAGTAACTTGTTTAAATTTTCAAGCAATAACTGGTCCGCTTCTAGATCAGAGTGATCTATAGAATTTACTTACGATTTATCATCCACACATTCACAAATTTCAAAAGGTTTCTTAATAGATAGTTCCATTTGTTGATCTAACGTATTTTGTATAATTGTGGTGGCATAGCCATTCTCACATTTTACCAATGCAGAAGGCATGCGCACTCCATCACAGAATCGGGTATAATTTAATATTCCTTCGCCATAAAACATGTTATCAGGTAATTTTGCTCTAACTTCAGAACGAGTGGTATTGGTGTGCTTTATCGGGGCTTATAAAAGAACGGGTGCTTCCTGTGTCTATCATGAAATTAGCATCTATTTCCGTTATATATATGTATGGTACTTTTAGATTTATGTCGCAATTCAATTCTATTATTTCGGGTGGTTTTCAGAGGCTCTTACTTGACAATTTTCAGTTTGTGCCCGACATGTCATTATCCTCTGAATTATTGTTTTCTTCGGACTCTATTAGAGAATTTTCTTGTATGGATTCATCTTCATAATAATTGTCGTATGGTTCCTCATACATGTAATTTTGAGGAAATTCGTATGTATAGTATGATGGATAAATTTCTAATTCGTTTAGGTGGAAACCTGGTTAAAAAGGCTTTGGAGGGGCAGTTCTCATAGAAACATCAGTATCATTAGAAACCGGCTTATTATGCACATTATTATTATTAGGATAATTAAAACGCTGAGAGTTACCAAACTGTTGTGGTAACATTGGTTGCATGGGGCTATAGCCCGGGGGTCTAAATCCAAAGTTTGGTCGGTATCCAAAATTAGGTCGGTATCCAAACTGAGGTGGGTGATATTGCTTAGGGAAACTCATTTGATGTTGAGGCTTATTTTGTGGTAACGGAATCCTCATTTGTCTACTATTGGGAATGCCAAACTTAAATTGAGGTGGTGTTCCGAAATTCTGCACAAAACCAACCCCCTGGGTTGGTTTTGTGCTAACATTGGTCTAAAACCTGTAGGCTGTGTTGGCATTGCGAACTCAAACGATGGTTGTTGCACTAGTGTACTACTAGACTGTGGCTTAGACGTATGGCTAGACTGTAACATTTTACTACGCATCTGATATTGGTCATAGAAGTTTACTTCTTCTAGAACTATACTTAGTGCTTCTTCTAGTGTACTGGGTGTTTTCAACGTAACAATGCGCACCATATTTTCGGATAAATTGTATAAGAAAACCTGCAGAGCGGTGTTATTATAAATAAAAGTTTTACTTATTTTTAAGTTTATATCACCAATTTGATTAACCTTCGATATTAACACTGATTTAACGGATTGTATACGACCACAAAAATCTGTATAATTTTCATTTTGGTGTTTCTTTAAAGTTTCTAATTCTATGGCTAAACATTCCTCGCTACGTGGGTCGCCGAAGTGAGTTAAAAACAATTCCTTGTATTCGGCCCACGTCTCTATATCTTCCTGTTCACTGATAAGCGACGCAGCCTCGCCCGAAAGACGACTAGTAATGATTTGCATTATATATTCATTTTGCACAACGGATGATTTAAAGTTACTTATTATATATTCACATTTACGCAAAAATAAATTTAAATGTCGCTTATCGCCGCTAAATGTTGGTATTATTTTAGTTAATTCATTAGGGATAAGTTTAATTTCCGACATTTTTAATAATTTATTCACTGGTTCTACACAAAAATTAAAAAAATAAAAAATATTTATTATAACTCTACCAGTTCCACAAATGTTGTAAGGAAAATTCGAGTATAAGTAATAATCTATTATGTATTTACGTGTCGAGTAATCTTTAAATTAGCAAACACATGTAGACACAATAAGAACTTAATATAATGTATAATACTTAATATAACATACTCTATAACTTTATTGAGTGATATGGGACTTATTATTATGTACGTATTGTAATCAAATTAATATTATTTTAATTTTTATTTAAGTAATATTTATTACACTTAATACTTTATAAAATTTACGTAAAATTAGTATTTGAAACCCAAATAACAGTCAAAATGGAAAATGTCTAATTCCAAGTTTACTAAGGAATATGAAGGAGGTGAAGAGTCGTACTCATCAGCCCGCAGTGCCCATCATCAGCTTCACGGCTCCTTATTCTCGACGAATTTGTTTTGGTTCGCTGGATCATCACGCTGTATGGATTATCCGTCGATACGCGAAAAGGAGTAAAATTATATACGCGATATTCACGAACGGTGGCACAGCTTTTCCGGTGATCCTACCGGCTGCGCCAGTCAAGTTGCGGGAGCTGCCGAGAGCTTTTTCAAAACTAAATACAAACTATGTGTTCACAGAGAGACATGCGAATTTATTCTGACCATTGTCTTTTACAATTCTTAATCCTATGCTTACAGTCTACTTAACTTACTACATACTCAGCATTTATGTATTTATGCTGATGGACGTTTTATCTGTATTATGGGTGGTGCTGGTGTAACCATAACTACCTTGTCTCTTCCGCTGTATAAGAAATAGGGACATACTTCATTTAAAATCTAAACTTTCTCCTGATAACTTAATACTTTCTGCTACTTATAAAAGATAAAGGAATTTTTGCAATAAACTATTAAAAAAACCTCAAAACACAATATGATAAAAATGTTTTACAAAAGGCCGGTAAAAACAGTAAACTTGTATGGAAATTCATTAAAAATAATACCTTCAGTTCAAAAAATCTTGGACCCCCACTTGATCTACTGTCATTGGACAAAAGCGCAAACGAAGCAACTAATAAATTAAATAATAATTTTATGAATGTTGACAAAAAATACCAGAGACAATTTTAAAATTAAGCAACACTCGTAATCCAATTTTCATGCCCACATCCTTTTCTAAGTTAAATTCTTTTGTATTGTTAAATACCAATATTGATGAGATTTTAAGTATAATATCTGGCTTAAATGATGATTGTGCAGTTGGGTGGGACAATATACCTAATCGCATACTCAAAAGATTTAAACATTTACTGGCCGCCCCGTTAACACATATCTTTCAATTATCCCTATCAAATGGTATTTTCCCGAAAGTGCTTAAAAAGCAGTGGTTTCTCCTATTTACAAAGCTGGTGATAAAAACTTAGTAACTATAGGCCAATTTCAGTTTTATCTGGTTTATCTAAAATTTTAGAAAGATCATAAATACCAGGTTAATAAAATACAATTTGGTTTTAGGCCTAAGAGATCATGTAATGATCTTGCCTTGCACCATTTGACAGATTATGTCACAAGTAATCTTGACAGTGGTATGGACTCAATTGGGATCTTTTTAGACCTTACAAATTTTTCCAATTACCTCAGTGATCGCTTTCAACGTGTAAAAATCGGTGAGTATACAAGTACTGAATTAAAAAACTGCTCTTATGGAATCTCACAGGGCAGTATCCTGGCGCCTACATTATTCCTGATTTATATAAATGACTTATGCAATATTCAACTTCAAAATGGTGTCATAATGTCGTATGCGGATGACACAGCCCTGTTATTCTCAGCTAAATCACGAGACGAGGTTTATAAATACGCTCAGCAAGGCTTTAACATAGTATCTAATTGGCTTCTTAATAATCTTCTACGTTTAAACGCTGATAAAACACAATATATGTTATTTTTAATGAGAAATAATAACATACCTACTCACCTAAATATTTACACTCATCATTGTAACTCGTATGATGACACTGCATATGTATGTCCCGCATTAACAAAAACAGACAATATAAAATATCTAGGTATCACGCTTGACACAAATTTAAATTTCCGCAAGCACATCGATTTACTTTGTGCTACAGTTCGTAAATTAATATATATTTTTAAATATCTTCGTAACATCACTGACTTCAAATTGATAAGACAGGTCTATTTAGCTTAGTGTCAATCCATACTCACTTATGGCATTACTTCCTGGGGTGGTGCTTCAAAAACTATGTTGCTCCCACTAGAACGTGCTCAGAGAGCAGTTCTAAAGGTAGCCACTTTCCGTCCATTCATATTTCCTACACATCAACTTTACTTGGAATGTAGTGTACTAACTGTCCGTCAGTTGTTTATCCTGAATATCATTTTAAAACAGCATACCGAACTTCCATTTAACTTAAAATCCATAGACAGGAGAAGAATGGACTTAGTTTGTGTAAACCACCAAACCAAACACGCATTTGTGAACACATTTTACATATTTTTAGGACCCTTTCTATATAACAAGCTCAACAAGTCACTAAAGGTATATAGTCTAAGTTATAAGAACTGTAATATAAGTGTAAGGGAATTTCTAAATAAATTAAATTACGAAGACACAGAGAAGTTGTTAGAAATTCTAAAATAGTTTGTATTAATTGTAGGTAACAATTAATTGTTATTTAGTAATTTTATTTATTATATAATATAGTTTAATTATTTAAATAACTAGTGTACTACTTTATTAAACCCATTGTGTAAGTGATGTCTGAAACACAGGTACTCAACCTAGTTCAGGCAGGTAGCTAATATTATAAACTTGACTTTTCTATTATTCTTTTGTAGATTCGATTTTATCATAGCATGTTATTTTCGTTAGACTTATTTTTACTTTATTTAATTGTAATCATATTTGTTCCTGAATGCAAACATGTGTAATTGGAAATGAAATAAATATTTATTATTATTATTATATATTTGGGTTA